TCCCTGGAGACAAGCTTGTGCTTTGCTGGCTCCCATTATGCTAGATGACACCAAAAAAACAATTATGTCCTAACGTTGTCTGAAGCACACAGATTTCTGTCCTCTTCAGTGTTATCTCAGAACCCCAGGGAGGTCACAGCTGCTAAGGGAGACTCCCAGTTGTGGAAACAGTGAGGCTAACATTCGATCCGTGGTGTCAGGAGGGTTGGTGTCATCCAGTGCAGTGACTCCTGGTGTCATCACACCCCCATGGACCTCTTCCCATACCAGACCGCACAAAATCCTTATGTTCATAATCAATTGTAACCATAGAATAACATGTGATAAATATAGCTGTAAGTTGCTTACATGTGGTATTTCTTAGATTATATGAATACGAACAACAAAATTATTTTGTGAAATCTTCCTACATTGAATTACCACATTATTCGTAACTAGGCAGAAGCCTTTTTAAATTTTTCTCCTTTTCCTTTGATTACTACTTCATTCTCAAAAAAGGTATTGATTTAAGTTCACAAATACTAGTTTACCACAATATGGTAGCTAAAACACATTTAAAAACATTTGACAAAACAAATGACTGTAAAAACACTGGCAGCAACAAAATCAACGGCACACGCGTGCAGGGCGTGTAGACAAACCCACGTGAGTCAAAGCGTTGCTGTGATTGGATGCTGAGGACAGCTCAGACTTGAGCGCATCAGAAGATTCCAAAAGTAAACTAGCACAGAGTTTTAGCCTTGTAGATGTATTGATACCTGTAAACTGGGTTTATAAAAAATGTTTTTGTTGTTTTAACCACAGTGACATTTTTATAAAAAATAATAAATTTCCGCTGAAACAGTGCACAAAAATTTTATAAACAGTAATTTTGGTGTCGCCTCGCTCAGACAGTGTTACTCGGTGCAGAACGTACACACACACGCGCACACGCACCTGTACCCCTCTAGTGACAACACTGCATTCAGTGAAACCATGTCAAGATTCTTGCATCGTGCTGGGGGCACAGCAGGCACTCGCGAATGACTGGTCCCTTCTCTTTCTTTCTTTTACCCTGAAAGAAAGTACCTGACAAAGAAGCAATAAGGAAGCTGCTTGGGCTCTCCCAGGATGGGAATATACCTACCTGGAATGGGAACTGTATGCAAGGGCATCACCTCCACCCCGTGGACCGGGTACCCAAAGGGAAGGTTGGGCTGAGCCAGCAGGGGGGGTGGGCGGGGCAGCCCTTCTCTGCAAGGAAACAGACAGCACGTTAGCAGCTGCCCTGAGGCCAAGCCCTTGCTAGTTCTGGAAGTAGTACAGAGCCTTGTCCTTCCATGGGAAGCCTCTGCCTCCCTCCCTTCTCCCTCTACTTCCATTCCTCCCACTTCAACCTCCAATTCCATGGAGGTACTGAGGCAATTTACAACAAAGTACA